ATAGTTAAAATAGTTCAGGTAGAGGGAAAAGTAGAAACATGAAAGTCTTTTGAAACAATGTGGCGCACCGTTTTAGAATTATAATTTAATTTTTCTTTTTTCTTTTCCGATCTGATTATTTGCAGATTGTAAAACAGATATTGTGTGTCGTAACGATAAAAGATAAAAAGAAATTTATAAAATTGCAAGAAGAAAGTTTGAATGCAGCTGTGCATATCATCAATCCTTTGTTTTATCATATTGAGTCGTATTCAAGGATGGATGAATAATAATATATGAATTCTAATTTATGATTCATGATGATGTTACAGCATTGTTGTAAGTAGTTATTAAAGATATTATAAAGTAAAGGATTAAAACAGCTAAAGCTCTGGAAAGAAAGAACTCTCAACGATTGTTTCGAACGAATCTTTCCCTTTGTACGGTCCGATTGTAATTAAAGATGCGAACGACGAGTGGAAACTCTTTCTCTCGATCTTTTCTAGTCTGTTGCGTTCGCGTCGAGACACACTTGCTCCGTCCTTGGTTTTTATAGTATCTGCATTTCTATTTTCAAGAGACAGAAGTTTCCCTCGTCAATTTGCGTTAATCTTGGATAAAATGTGAAAGACACGAGGAAGATATAAAGAAGAGAGAGAGAAAAAAAGAGAAATATTTTTATGATAATATAATTAATAGAGCTAATGTTTTTTATACGATTAGTATAAAACTGTGTTTAAATTTTACATTATTTTTTGTGATTTATATTTTTCTTCTTCTTTGTCTGTGATATATTTTTTCTTAATTGTTAATTTCGCATTTTCTGTTTTAGAAACAAATATATTACAAAAAAAGAATAATATACATTGTTCATTGATAGATGAACTTTTAAATTTCGTCCAAAATGTATTTCTTTTTTTTTTTTTTTTTTTTTACAGTGATGGTTAGAATATTCGTGATTCGATCATGTGTTCTTTGATTCTTTAACCTTTTAGGGTCTAATCGATGACACTTTTGGCTTATGATTTTTTTTATTGCAACAGTATTCTTTTTTTTAAAAATTTCTTTCTTCTATAAATCAGAAATATTAATGACAACGAAAAATTCTTCGGAATTTTTTTTATTTAAGAATAGATACTCGTATTGTAAGAAACAAAGATAGCGGACCATAAAGGGTTAACGACCGACAGATTCAAAAAAGAAAATTAGCAATTAGAAATTATTTTCTAGACGTGTGTGTCCAGGTTGTACAAATATATATATACATACATATATATAAAAAAATATAAATAAATATGTATATATCTATATTTTAATTACGAAGTATTTATATACATAAAGCAGAAGGAAGATAATCGTGACGAGTCGCTTCCGATATGGCTGTATCAATAATTGTATCAGATTATATTCGTGATGGTGCACCGAATGTCAAGATTGGCTGCGTATATTATTAATAAATTGTACTTCACTTTTTCAATTTGCATTTTATTTTTTCTTATCCTCATGCATGTAAAATATGTGTACTTTTGATATATAAAAATTGGAATACGTTTTATTAAGATCTTTAATCAATCTCTTAAATATAGAAAAGAATAGAAATAATTAAAAACTTAATTACAAGCTATCTCTTATAACGTATATATGTGCAGATTATAGTTTACAAATAAAGAGCGAATAGTGCGAAAAAGATAGAGATAAGATAAAAATATTGAAATCAGCGCCATCTTCAGAGTGCCGCAAATGAAACATATAAAGAAAAGACAGAAAATAATAAGAGAAGAGAAAATAATAAAAAGACAGAAAATAATAGAGAAATAGAGTAAGAATTGACTATCAGTGTCATCTGTTGAGTATAAAAGAAATTTATTTTAAAGATTTAGGATAAGACAGAAAAATTAAAGATTAGGATTATCTGTTGAGAATTAAGAACATATCATTACGTAGTTAAGAAAATAGTTAAGAGATGGCGTAAGTTCTTAATTCTATTCTACTTTATCCTATCTTTGAACTAGTATCTTTTACACTCAAGAGATGGCGCCAAAAATCAATTCTTATCCTATCTCTATCCTTCTTTTACGATTTTCTGTCTTTTCTTTATGTGTTTCATTTGCGGCACTCTGAAGATGGCGCTGATTTCAATATTTTTATCCTATCTCTATCCTTCTCGCACTATTCACTCTTTCTCTACGCATGCTCAATAATTTACACATATATGCGCTCAAGAGATAGTACGAATTTTTAATTATTTTTATACTTTTTCTTATTTTGATTGCTTTGAAGATCTTAAAATCAATTTCAATTTTTACATATCATAAATACACATGAACTTTACATTTTCTTTATATGTACATTTATATATATATATTTTATATATTTAAAATACGTTGTATTATTAATTAAATATTTTGTTCCAGGAATTACTGCAGTTCAAAGAGGTAAGTATGGAAAAGATAAGTATAGGACTGTCCTCAGTCCCTTAGATTTAAGTAAAATGGTGAAAAAATGATTAATTCCTGTAAATATGTCAATTGGAAGAGGTAAGTATATAAAAGGTAAGTAAAAAAACAGGTAAGTGTATTATTCTATAAAAATTTTATATGTCATTTTGTATTTTAAATTTTGTTTGCCCAAAAATTTCGAAAATTCCAAGAATTTGACGTCACTTCCAAGAACTGCCGAAATTCTTGGAAAAATTTCTCGAACGACCTCCTGTCAACTTATGTTCTCCTAATACAAAGTCGAAAAATCGGCGAAAAATTTTATTCGTTCAAGAATTTCGAAAATTCCAAGAATTTGACGTCACTTCCAGGAACTGCCGAAATTCTTGGAAAAATTTCTCGAACGACCTCCTGTCAACTTATGTTCTCCTAATACAAAGTCGAAAAATCGGCGAAAAATTTTATTCGTTCAAGAATTTCGATAATTCCAGGAATTTGACGTCACTTCTAAGAATTTCAAAAATTCCAAGAATTTGACGTCATTTCCAAGAACTGCCGAAATTCTTGGAAAAATTTCTCGAACGACCTCCTGTCAACTTATGTTCTCCTAATACAAAGTCGAAAAATCGGCCAAAAAATTTTAGATTTAAAATTTCTGAAAAAATTTTTGCTAGCTAAAATTTCGATTTTGTATCAGGAGAATATAATCAAAGAGGAGGTGGCACGTGAAATTTTTCTAGGAATTCTGAGATTGAAATTTTTGACCAAATTTTCGATTTTTTATCAGGAGAATATAATTTAACAAGAAGTTTTATATACTTACCTTATATACTTACCTTATATACTTACCTTATATACTTACCTTTTACAGCTTTTTTTGTGGTATTTTTTTCTTTTTTTTTTTTTTTTCTTTTTTTTTAACAGTTTCCTTAATTCTAAAGATACTTACCGTTTATATACTTACCTTTTATTACCTTTTATTATACCTTTCTCCCTTACTTTATACTGGACATTTTTTTATAGTTTCTTCTAAATAATACACAAAATGATTTTTTTATTCTCATCATCTGGCATATCTCGATTATTTTTGATTAAGAAACTTTTGTTTTTTTAACAATTTGTTTTTTTATATTATTATAATATCATGTATTTTTCAACGCATTAATCATGTGTGCAACGTGTGCAATTCTCTATAAAAAAAAAAAAAAAATATTAAAACTTTAAATCAAAAAATTATAAGTTTAAAAAATAATTGAATAAATAGTTTTTCTTTTTATAGAGAATGACTTGTCACACCTAATAACGCATCTAATAACGCATTAAAAAGTACAACGATTCTATTTAAAAAATGATCTTCATCATCGTAAATTCTACCCATTTATCTATAAAAAAAAAAAAAAAAAAAAAATAACGATATCAAAATATGCCTTGCCTTCTTTCTTCATTGAACTTTTCTATCTGAAACATGTTTTAAAAAAATATTTTAAAAATCAACAATAATTTTTCAAACGATAAAAAATTTTTTTATACTACACAAGAATATTCAAAAATAGAAGAAATATTTTGAAAAAAAAAATTACCCCATCATTTCACACGTCTCTTCAAGTCAAACATTTTTCTATATTAAAAATCTGAAAATTTGAAAGAAAGAAAACTCAAAAAGGGAATAAAATTTTCGTTCAATATTCACTTAACATCTTTTTTTTTTTTTTCTCCTCTTTTATATATTAAGAATTTTTAATAATCAATATTGTCGGATATATATATATATATATAATATATATATAATATAATACATTATATTAATTGAGACAGTATGGACACAACGTATAATTGGCGCGGTAAGGTGACAAAGAAGCCTCTCCCTTGTCAGTGTCCCTTCGTCGGAGGGTTGCTTCGTGCACCCCGGGATCGCACACGTTTCTCATTTTTTTCTTTTTTTTTCCTTTTTTTTTTTCCCCTTTCTTTCTCTCCACTTCTCCTCCCGTCGTTTCTTTTCGAAATTTTCCACGTAGTTTTTCCACTCCACGCTTATCACAACTTGGTTAATTCCCTTAAGTATATTAAATACCGGTTCATCTCTGCGGAAAGAGGGCCCCCTTTCAACCATCGTTTTATCGTTCTTGAAATAATAATAATAATCGCGAAGACGAGAATTGATCTCCAGAGAATTTATTTTTCCTAATTTAATTTTTCGAATATAAAAAATTTTCGAATTTCTTTTTTTTTTTTTTTTTTAAAAAAACGACATTGGTTTCAATTTAAACAAGAATATTATGTTCGAGCAATTTATATTTATGTGTACAATAATTTATTACCTCTAATCTATCGTTATTCGATAAATCCATTTTAGCCACTCTTTCTATAGAGAAAAATCTAATTTAACGTCTCACCCCTTCTGGTTACCACTATCACCACCTTTGTCACAGCCCTCCCCCTCCAGCCTGTCCCAAAGGTCAACCACCCTTCGTACATACTTATTTTTTTCTCCCCTTCCATTTTACAACTGCTCCCCCTCACTTAAAAAAAATCCCATCCAGCATCTAGTTTTTCAAAATTTTTTCAAAATAAAAAGCGAATAAGTTTTTCTTAAATTCTATGCTATTCTTTTTTTTTTTTTTTAATTAACGAAGTTAGGTCGTCAAGTGAGGTTAGAAAGATATCAAACGAGGTTACGTAAGGTTTAGATTTAATTTATATTATTTTTTGAAAAGGATCAAGAAAATGCCGGGATGGGAAATTTTTAATCAAAGAGGCTCACCCATGTCTTTCATCATGTTTTTCGTTTCGTTTGTTTCTTTTTTTTTTCTTGCCACCTCCCTCGCAGCGTATCGTTATACTATTTAGTCTAATCCCTGATATATAACATGAACCTCGTTCACAATCGTAAAAAAAAAAAAAAAAAAAAAAAAAGGATCGTGAGACGAAAATACACGCCAACCGAGACGGTCAGGACATTCCTCGACTTCTCTTCTTTTCCCTTCCGTGTTTATTCCATATCGCGTTTTATTTCGTGCCTCTTTGTTCTCGCAACGTGCTTTTTTCGATGAACTTTCCTTTTCCAAAGAGATTTTGCTCAGATTTGGTGTCTTGGAGGATCATAAATTCGAAAATTTGTCATAACTTAATTAACAATAATCGATATTTTGTAGAAATTGTGCGTTTCGAAAAGGAAGATCGAAAATAATCGAAGTTCGAAAATGAAAAATTTCTATTTCCTTTCACAAAATGAGGTTAACTTAATCCTAACCTAAAAATAGAATCAACGCGAATGGAAAGTTAATAAATCGAGGAAAAATATCGTATATAAAAATAGCGACCTCCTGACGACACCTAACCTCAACAATCTCCACAGGATTTCGATCCTTTAAAAAAAGAAAAAAAAAAAAAAAAGAAAAAAAAAAGAATCGCTCGCGTTTTCGCCTCGCCGCCTACTTTGTACAACCGATAACTACACAGTGTGCTATTCTCATTTGCTCAATAAATATTCGATAAATATATCATTGTATTTCATCATTATAATATATGTATATCATCGTATTGCCGTAATAATAGGTAATAATAATCGCACTATGTTCATAATTCATCGCCGTTTTTTTTTTTCGTCGTTTACAATTTACCAGTGTGTCGTTAAGTACCTTTCAATTTTATATATATATATATATATTATTTATTATTTAATATTATTATTATTATTATTATTGTTATCGTTATTCTCGTAGCTGAACTTGCACCTCGCATGCTCGTGCGTTCTATATTCATCTATTTAAATTCTCGCAACACACCTCTTCTAACCACCCATCCCAACAACAGAAAAAAAAGAAGGAAAAAAAAAAAAAAAAAAATCAAAAACAATCGTACTTCTTTCTTTTTATCTCGTTAACCAGGTTATCTTGCTAAATTAATCATTCGTTAGCTACGCGTTTACATATAATATATTATATACGTCTTCTCAGTCCCCTCACAAGCTTAAATTCTACGCAAACGACCCATCATTTTTCTTTCTTTCTTTCTTTTCACTTTTTTTTTTCACTCGCTTAATTGCACGAAAATTATCAAATACGTCTCGATTTTCCAATTCTCTCGATCAAACTTTTACCATTTTTCTAAGAAAGAACAATGTTCTCGATTTATTTTCTAATCCATTTTTGACCCGTGTAGCAGCGGGTGGCTCGGGATATCCAGTCGATATTTCGTTACTTTTTCCCCCTATTTTTATCCTCGAACCTAGTTTTTTTTTCTTTTCGATCGAGACGCGAGACTGATGCGTAATTAAACTTTTCTTGTTTCTCCTAATCGTTCATATCGACGTCGCCCCGCCCCCTAAAGTCTACTAGAGAAATATCTATCTTACGTAGAAAAAGTCCTCGTGCGCACTGTCGCGCCGGAGAGAACTTTGCGGCTGAGAATCACATCCATCGATCTATCCTTCTCGTTGTCGAAGTAATTATAAATGATGTTTAAGGGAATGGAAGCGATAACAGTTCCTTTTCTTTTTTTTCTTTCTTGTTTTTCCTTCGAACAAACTTTGCTTCAGTTAATACGTACAACTAGTTCTTATCGTTGAAGGTTAGATTACAAATGGATGGAAGTAAGGTTAAGTTGGAAAAAAATCGATTTTCACCATCACTTTCTAGATACGAATACTACGCGGTAATATTAAAACGATCACTCTTCAATAAATTAACTAGGATGCTACTTAAGTAACAAATTATCACGAGATATGCAATTAAATAGTCTATCTATAATTGCTACGATAGAAGCGAGATACGAAACTTCCCATTCGCACAACGAGGTTAACTATCCTTACGACGTTCATGTTCATTGTTATCGGTTCGAATCGATATATCACAACATCGTCGCTATAAAATACAAAATATCTAACTAACGTATCGTTACTTTTTTTGTTTTCTTTTATTTTTTTTTTTTTTTTTTTTTTTCTTTTTAGAATCAAGAGTCGATCTTTCCTCTTCGTTCGGAGACACGTGTGATCCCAGCCGCAATGAATTTCGACCGGCGGAATTTCGATTCGTGCGGACGAATTTTTTTTAATGCACTTTCGGTTCAAGGCAGCTCGAGACGCTATTAGAAAATGTTTTTCACGTGGATGCCCCGAGAGAAATCGGCGCGACGCGAGCTCGACGTTGGACGCCGTTTTTTTGAGCGGAAACCCAATTGGCTGGACTCTCAGCTGGTAAAAGCGATTCACCAGGCGTAGCGACGAAAGATTTCTCTCAATTCGTTTTTTTTTTTTTTTTTATTCATCTTTATTATTTCGTGAAAAACTCACGAAAACTTTGATATTTTCAAGTTATTTCGTCGAAATATAATTTGAAATTAAGAGTAATCTTTCCTCGCGAATCTGTGTTTTGAAAGCCGATCTAACCACGACCTTTCACCCCATTATTAGGAAGACCTAACACTACTTTGTAATCCTTCTATCCTAATTGGCACTCTACTCTATTTGCACCCACGAAATCGTACGCTGACCATTTCCGAATCACGTATCTTTTTTTTTTAATAATTTCCCCAAGCTTTCTAATACGACTAAATACTCTTTTACAAAACCTATTTCCTTTTTTTTTTGTTACGATATAATAAAATATTACAATTTAATAAGTTAATAAAGAGGAACTTTGAGAACATACTACACACGAATTTTAATATTATAAAAATTCTACATTGATCGATACGTGATTCTTGATCGTCAATTTCTACAAATCTCGTACAATTTTTAATTAAAATAGAAAAAAAAAAAAAAACAAAAGTCACGCGGTGAGAAGTGCGTAATGTACACGTATCCCGAACCACCCTGGTTTCGTTTCGTTATAATTCTATGAATTTTTAAATTTTCTTTTTTTTTTTTTTTTGTTATTCGTTATTAATCATCGGCGTTGAGTGCCCGCGCGTTTTCGTTTAACAAAATAAGAACACCAAGAGTCTCGTTACAATCCCTATTGGCATCGAGGAAAGTATTAAAATTCCTTATACATCTATCGTGATTTCTTTCGAACACTTTGCGCGAATCACTTTTGCCGAAGGAAGCTCTAGATCGTCTAAAATAAATTTATTAATCGTCTAATCGTTTAACGAGGCTCGATTATTTTTTTCCTTTTTCTCGCGATAAAATGAAATATCGTCAAAGATGGTTGGCGAAGAGTTCGAAAGAAAGTGTGCAAAATCCTCGGATCGATCGGATCTAGGGGTCCAAGGATCGATGAATTCGACTGTCTCTCTGCCCCTGTGCGTGATGTAACAACTATGAATGCCTAGAGTGGAGCGCCCTCTTCTAAATCGCTCGTATTACAGTATGCAGTGGCGCCATCTCGTTTTTTTAAATAAAGACGTTCTAATAAAGCTTTCTTCATTTATCTAAAAAACAATTAATCTTTTAAGGTATATACATATGTATATGTATATATATATATATATATAATTAAAACATTTGTGCATCGTGTAACAACGAACGATTCAGTGAACAATTATTAATAATCTAAAAAAACAAAGAGCGATCCACCCTGAGCGTGCGTTTTACGTACCCTATTCGCCTCGCGTCGTAATTAATATTTTATTCATATTTACACTAAAGAATCGTTCTTCTCCCGTAGTAACCATAAAGCGATTAGTTAGTTAGTTTAGTTAGTTTAGTTAGTGAGTGAATTAAGTAATAGTCAGCAATAGCAACGCCCCTCCTCTCCCACTGGGCACGATGTGCCTTGTTCTTAATAATCATAGAGATAGGCGATTTAATAGTAACAGCTGTATGCGGTCGTCCTTCGTTTTACAATTAATAGTTAAGAGTAGCGTTAACATAGTAGTAGTTTAGCTTACAATATAGCGTTATTAATTAGTAATAATAGTAATAATAGTAATAGTAATAGTAGTAATAGTAATAGTAGTAGTAGTAATAGTAGTTGTAGTAGTAGTATTAATAATAGTAATAGTAGTAGTAGTAATTATAGTAGTAATAGTAATAGTAATAGTAATAGTGATATTAGTAATAGTAATAGTATTAATAATAGTGGTAGAGTGGTGCTGTGATGATAAGTGGTTTTTCCCAATTTCTTCTTTTTAAACAGCAGTGCTGATGGCGATGGTGGTGGTGGTGGTGGTGGTGGTGGTGGTGGTGGTAATAGTTGTACAAGTAGTAGTTATAATAATAGTAGTAGTTTTTTTTCTTCCCCTTGTAGTATTAACAATATAGTTGCAGCGGTATTCATCGTCGCCTCATCGTAATAGCGTTAGTAGCGGTAAGAAGCAATTCTTTATAGGAATAGTAGTAGTATCGTATCGTCTTGTTCATCTCTCTTAACTCGAGTCTGTAAGTAAATCTTACACTTCGTTTTCTCTTTTATCTTTTTTTTTCTTTTTCTTTTTTTTTTTTTTTTTTTAACACTAATTATCGATATATCGCTAGTCTCAAAATTCTTTGTACTATCACTACGAACCGATTGACAGGGTGCCTCCATTCTTCCCATTTAACCGCGATTTCGACTTGATCCTGGACACATTTCATCCGGCAAACTGAACTCTACTCTAACTCGGATGTCTCGCAACAAGTACAATAAGTACAATGATTGAAATGATTCGACGACAGAAAACCGCTCCGAGCACCGAGAAAATCTTGAGATCTATACAAAGCCACTCGCAACTAAGATTTTTAAGGATTCTAGATCTAGAGCACGGTTAAACGCTACGATTAATATTAATTTACAAAGGCACATATAGAAGCACAGACAAGCGAGCAAACACAAATCAACGATCAGGGGAGGAGATACAATGAATGAAGTTATGAACCAGGCTTTGGGCTTTGAACGATCGCCATCTTATTTTTTAAAATAAAACGCTGGAAACCAAATCGAATTCGAATTCGAAAAAATTAAAAAGCAACCGCTCGCCGCAATTTTCTTTCTCTTTCTTTTCCCTTCCTTTCCATTTTCTTTCAGTGAATTTCGCAACGAATGGGGCGCGAGTCAATCGAGTTCAACGATCGTTGGATCCAGTCGTCGCTAATGGGCAAGGACGCCGCGCACCCTTTCAACCTCACTCGAAGAGAGAAAGAGAGAAAAAAAAAAACGAAAGGGTTGTTCTCGCGAAACAAAACCCAGGAAGAACCACCTCGAAAAGCTATCTGATCATCTAGCGAGTGTATTAAGCGCATCATTACTTAAGGGGTTCCTTGGGAATCGCTATATATAATAAGACAGATCGCCCCTCGTGTTTGCTTTCCAACTCTTACGCTGCCAGAATTCTTTTTCTTCTTTTTCTTCTTCTTCTTCTTCTTCTTCTTCTTTTTTTATACAAAATATATTCCATAGATATTCGATCTTACGTTTCTACAATTATTAATCTTTGAAATTGTTTTTTGAAAATTAAAAGTAATTTCATCATTATTACACAGCTTTCACAGAATTAAAAGAAAGAACATTTTCAACGATTTTTCGAATTTCTTTTAGCAGCGATTGGCAGCGAAAGGGTTGAGCTTAAAGAAGAAAAAAAAAAAAAAGAAAGAAAAAAATTCGCCCTGTATCGTCAGACACCCTAATTCAATGTACAGTCGACGGAGAGAGAGAGAAAGCACTTTTGGACAATATACAACATTATAGTTTTAGGACCTTCGTTGTCGTTAAGTTCGATGTTACGTTATCTCGTTGCGCGACGTTACACTAAATTTCTAAGTAAGTTAATAACTATAGATCTCTCACTATCTCGAAATATCGTCCTCTCTTCCTCGGAAAATCGTTTTCTTTTTTGTTTGTTTTTTTTTTTCTTATAGTCTCGTTTTCTTTAGTTTTTCTTTCTTCGACTTTCTCCTCCTCCTCCTCCTCTTCCTCCTCTTCTTTTCCTTCTTTTCCAATTTCTTCCATTCTTCGCCCTCTTAATCACGCGCGCCATTATATCGTTTTAAATCATCATTAATCATCGTGAAATAACGTGTATTTTCCTTTTTCTCTTTTCCTCCTTTTTTTTTTTTTTTTTTTTAACCGCTTAACTTTATCAATAGTAATCAATATTAAATATTATTCACTTTGTTTCTAACTAGCAGCCTCTGTTGACTAGCCCGCAACAACTAGTCGTTCTCTCTATTTTCGTTTTTCCCCTCTGTATTTCTTTTCACTAGTGTTAGCACTAGCCTGAGCATTAGGCGATTAATTTAACGATACAATTATTATAAAGTTATCAATTATCGTTATTATTTTATATATTTAATATTATAATTTATTATTATTATTAATATTATTATTATTATTATCCGTGGTTCGGTTAACTTCCGTTTTGACCGATACTCGACCGATCGGATCCCCTCGACCCTTCTTCTTCTTCTTCTTCTTCTTCTTCTTCTTCCTCATTTTTCTCTTCTTACTCGTCAGTATTTTTCCTCTTCCTTTTTTTTCTTATCATTTTTTCCTTTCCTTTTTTAAATGTTCACACTTCTCTCGATCATCGAAATGGAAAAGCATTTCTCCTTTTCATTTGTCTTTATTTCGACTACTTTTTACGTGTCGTCTAAATAAGCATGTGTACGCGTGTATACGTGTCTGTGTTCCTTCATAAATATTATAAAAAAATATAATAGAAAATTATAATTTCGTTATAATATTTATAAACTACGAAATTGGCACTAGAAATTTCTCCTTCTTTTTTTTTTTTTCCTTTTATTCATTATTATTATTATTATTATTATTATTATTAATATTATTAATATTATTATTATCGTTATTATTAATATTATTATTCTTTTCTTCAATCTCTTTGCTTCGTCGTTTAATCCTTCTCCTCGAAGAGCGCAGCAAATTACGTGTTTTTTTTTTTTCTTCCTCTTTTTATTTTTTTTCCTCTCTCGTTTTTTTTCTTTTTTTTTTCTTTTTTTTTTTTCTCTTTTTCCTCCCTTCGTAGACTAGATCTACACGTACCCATTTATAATTTTACAAAATTACCACGAGCGTGTATATATACAAAAACACACGTTTCGGAAGGGTCTCGAAAGCGGATAATAATTATTAGGAAACAGACGGTCGGTTTTATAAAATCGCGCGGGAAAACTGTACACACACTTCGGTACTTTTCCTCCTTTCCTCTTTTCCACGTTCGCGCTCTTTTCTCGTCGCTTTCCTTCCTTTCTCTTCGTTTCTTCGTTCAAAATTTAAATTGTCTACGGATCATTATTATTATTATTATTATTATTATTATTATTATTATTATCATTATTATTTTATCATTATTTTATTATTATTATTATTATTTATCATCGGTCGAAACGGACCGATCGGCGATGATCGGGAGACGATTTCTTAATTAGGAGACGAGATGAGGGGTCCTTACTCACGTCCGCCGAGGACACTCGAAAGAGAGAGAGAGAGAGAGAAAGAGATAGATAGATACAGAGATAGAGACATAGAGAGATAGAGACAGAGAGAGAAAGAGAGAGAGAGAGAGAGAAAGAGTCAGAAATTAACGGAGCGTCGAGAGAGGAGAACGGACGCTTCCGGTGGAGCGGAAGTGATAATTGACCGAAACGCTAATCCCCTCCTTCAAGGACGGAGCCTTTCCTTCCTTCCCTTTTCGCGGAAAAATTAAAAAGAAAAAATCTTCCTTATCCTTATAAAGGATCTATTACATCCAACGTAACAAAATTTTTTAAAAGTCTATTCTCCTTTTTTTTTTTTTTTACAATAAACCCAATTATTAAAAATCAATCCTTCACTAAATATAAGAAGAAGAGAGAGAAAGGAAGAAAGCGAGAAGAAAGATGACTCGTAAAGCGTGGAAAGGCACCGATCCTAGGCGAGGAACGAATAAGAAACAACTCGCCCCCTTGAATCCCTCGGCGAGGGTTCGGCCCTCCCCCCTTTCGAGGAGGGACCGGAAGCGGGATCCCCCCCTCCCCCCTCGACGCTGCCATTATTAACCCCCTTAAACTACGATCAGACTCTCAGGCACTCGATTCTCCGCAGGCTTAGGTCGCGAAGCTGAACACGACACGAGGAATCCTGACGATTCCCATCCGGCTCAGGGTAACAATTATCGTATATCGCGCCGGTGAGTAACGACCCCGTGGAACACGCGAGCTTCTCCACGCTATCCGCTCTAAGCCTCCAGTGTCACGGGGGAGACTTGGGTCTTCCGCTCTTGTCCTGCATCACTTGTTGCTGCTGCTGCTGCTGTTGCTGCTGTTGGCCAGCTTGTTGAGGCGGTTGTTGAGCTTGTTGTTGTTGTTGTTGTTGTTGCTGTTGCTGTTGTTGCTGTTGTTGCTGCTGCTGTTGGGCCTGTTGATGGTGGTGCGAGGTCGGATCGGTGGCCACGCCCAGATCCGTCCCCATCAAGTTACCGGCCCCGCTCTTGTCCACCACGCTGCTCGTGTGCACTGGATGGAAGTATCGGTCTGAAAAATTTCCTTTCATTAGCACGATTTCTTTTAACTTGGCAATGATATTGTCATATGTATATATATATATATATATATTTTTTATAATTTGGACAAATTCGAACTTCAATTCGAATACACATATAAACCTTCGTCCATGGTGGAGGGGGGCTCGCTGGCTGTCCCAGTGATGATAGGAGCGATCATGTTGTAATCGTCCTCGAGATTGATGAACGGCGCCGTGTTCCAACGCGGCGGCACGTTGGAAACGGATCTCTGTGTGGCCACAGGCCTCGTCACCGAGACGGGGGACGAGAACAGGGACAGGTTAGTCGGGGAGATGACCCCCGACATCGAGCTGATCGTAGGATACGTGAATATTTGCTGAAATATATACAAATGCATATATATATATATATATATTACTTTCCTCTTGAGAAGGATGAAGAATGAACGAACCTGTCCAGGCTGAGAGTGAAAATGAGCAAACGTATACTCCCGGCTGGTGTGGGGCGCTGTGACGAGGATCCTCGCGGGGCTCTTCCTTCCGGCCGGATCCACGGAGCTCTGGCAACCGGAACTGACCAGTCCCACCGCCGCCGCGGCGGCCATTTGCTCCTGATTGGACGCCAGCTCGGCCGGGTCCGTGGGCGAGGTGGAAGAGGTGGGGGGCGAGTTCGAGCTCGCCGCCGTCAATTCTCCCGTCGACCTTATAATGGCGACGGGCCTCGCCATCGGGGCAGGGGGGGGCGGGGGCAGCATCGAGCTCGGATAATACTGTGAGAACTTTTGTATACCAGTCCGGGGTCCGGCTAGCTGCGCCTGGAAACACCACACGCCCACCGATCAACGTCGCCGACCCGCGCGTGATCCATTCACCCCGTTTTCTCTCTCTCTTCGTTTCCCACGGTTTTACGATATATATCGTTTCCATTTTTTTTTTCTTTAGCTTCGCAAAATTTCGAGAAGTTGGACCAAGTAAAAACGGAGATAGATAGATAGATGTACAGATAGATAGAGAATATTGGAATATTGGAAAACGAAATTTGTATGTATATACCGAATTTAATGAAACGGAAAATAATAAAGATCGAATTCGAAAAAATCCAGGGCGATTGGAACACGGATGACGAGCAGGTCGGGCGAGAACCGGCCCCCGTTGTCCCCTGTTCATCCCCTCGAGGGGAAGGACGATCCTCGAGAGAGGGAGGGAGATAGAGAGAGAGAGAGAGATATCCTCTCCCTGGAGGGAGGAATCGTCCTTTTGGAAAAAATGGAGAGGGGGAGGGGGGGAGCAAAAGACAATGGCGGCGGGTTTTTAAAAAGAGAAGGATCCGGAAGCTACCTGGGGCAGTTGCTGGGTATTCTCGGCCTCCTGGCAGACGAACGTCACGAAATCCGACAGGGTGTCGTGACCGTTCTCGGGGTACTTGACCACCCCCGTGGAGGCAGGATGTTCCGGCTGGTAGTAGGCGAGGCCGGACATGGCTTGACCGGAGCCACCGGCCAGTCCTTCGTGGGGAGAGTGCAATCCTGAAACACAATTCACCGATGTCACCCCCTCTTGCTACGTGGCCTCCAACGCCACGGCGAAAACCACCCCCTTTTTAAAACGACACGCTCGTTTCTCGCTCCGTTTCTCACTCCCTTCTCCCTTCTTCCTCTTCTCCCTTCTCCGTTCCGTTTTCTATCTTACTTTCCACACGTTTCGATCGATCCTTCAGTTTCTCGAGCGGGTGTGATCCTCCTCCGTAATATCCTCCTCCCCGTTTGTCCTCAAACGAGACGATAAAGATCGGAGAAAGGGAAAGATATATCAGTGAACAGAAAATTAAATATCTTTACTTTTGAATTGAATATTATCGATCGAATGATTCATGTCGATAAAATCGGAGAATAAAGAGAAAGACACATATTTCCCGATATAAACATTAATATCTTTACTTTTCGCATTAAATATTATCGATCGAGTGATTCATGTCGATAAAATCGGGAAAAAAAGAGAAAAATACATATTTCCCGATATAAACATTAATATCTTTACTTTTCGTATTAAATATTATCGATCGAGTAATTCATATCGATAAGATCGGGGAAAAAAAGAGAAAGATACATATTTCCCGATATAAGCATTAATATCTTTACTTTTCGTATTGAATATTATCGATCGAGTGATCCATGTCGATAAGATCGGAAGAAAAAGAGAAAGATATATAATTCCCGATATAAATATTAATAATATGTTTACTTTCCGTATTTATTGAATATTATCGATCGATGGTAAGGGAGGATCCACCCACCAGATTGTTTCGTTTCGCGTTGTTGTAGAAATTTCTCTCTCGAGAGAAAAAAAAAAAAAGAAAAAAAGGTTGAATACTCGAGCCAAGAGAGGATTTTGAATAATTCTGGGCCGATTAGACAAACCGGGGATCTCGATGTGTTCGTTTGTGGTCGGTAAATGGTAATTGTTAATGCGGAGAATGTTAGTAAAAGTTGGATCCCGCCGCTGGAGAGAGCTTAGCAGAAGAGGGAGCAAACAGAGGTAACGATTGCTGCTGCGAGTCTGTTAGGGGGTGGTTTTAGTGGTACTTTTGAGGGGGAGGGGGTCGACCAACTATAACGATCGTGTTAAATATATATATATATATGTAATATATATATATATATATATGTATGTGTGTATATATAGATACATATACATATATATGTAAGGCGCTCCAAGCGTGAGGCTGGCTGGCTGAAATGTACATGTATTTTTATATATACCATGTGTACGCGTTTGCGCCCGCGTTCACGGATAAAATTTTATTTATTTCTCTTCGCGTTTTTTCCCCTTTTCGAATTTTCTTATCTAATTTTTTACATTTAAAAATTTTCGCGCGCGCACACACGTACATCACATATGTGGTTATATATACATGTATGTATATATACATATAGATATGTATATATATATATATATTAGACAGAGAGAGAGATATATATAGATATATAGTGCAACAACAAACATCAAACAGCAAGATAACAACGATTAAACAACACATCAAAAAAAAACATCAAGGTAACAACAACATCAACATCAATACAATGATATACATATATATGCGGTGATATATATGTACGTATGTATGTATATATATATATGTATATGGTAAACAACAACATCAACATCGCAACAACAATATAGAATGTATACTATGCATATATATATATATATATATATATATATATACATATATATATGTATGCGTATGTGTATATATATATACATATATACAAATATATATATATATATATATATATATGTAGGTAATATCGTACGGAGAGAGAGAGAGATAGAGAGACAGAGAGTGACAGATAGATAGACAGATAGATAGATAGAATAGAGCAATATATAATAAACAAGTCAAGTCTCAATCAAGGTTCGAAAATTAATTGAATCAATCAATCAAGTCAATTAATCAATTAATCCATCCAGCATACGACATACCCAGAGCATTGGCCGTGTGACAGTGAGTGAGAAATATATATATATAGATAATAATATAATGGTGTGCAATTCGGTTCAATTCGGGGTACAGTCTCGATCGTTTTATATATATTTTAATAAATTAATACAGAAAGAAGAAAGAACGAAATACAGTTAATCTCATAATCGAAAGAGAAAGAGAGAGAGAAACATCATTCCCAGCAATGAAATATTCCTCGAGTCCTCGAGAACTTACGACTCTCATTCTCCCTTCCTCCCAGTCGAGGCTGTACCCTTAAAAAATAGTAATAGTACGTGAACAGGTGGGTGTGTAGTAACAGGGTGGGCGGGCGGGCAGACAGACAGACAGACAGACAGACAGACAGACAGACAGATAGACACAGATGAACAGACAAACAGACAGACAGACAGACAGACAGACAGACAGCGACAGCTAGCTTACCAGGTAGAACCGGTACTACGCAGTTAGCAAGAAATAGCCGTCCGTTCGTCCGTCCGTCCGTCTGGCTGTCCAAGCCCCGGATATACTCATATTTCCTTCCGGTTCGTGTGCTCGAGAGGTTAAATCAACGGCTACGTTCGAAAATTACGGAAATTCGAGAGGTTTTGCACCGAGAGGGGACACCGAGAAAGGGGGGGGGGGGGGGGGGGGGCTGGCTGGCTGGTTGGTTGGCTGGCTGGCTGGCTAACTAACTAACTATTATCGCAACCTCGTTTCGCTTTATAGTTATATTCCTCGTTACTTTTTTTTGCAACGGTCGGTCAACAGACAGGTCGGTCGAACGGACAGGCGAACGTACATTATACGCTTTGTACGAAAGACAAAGAAAAAAGAAAAAGAAAAGAAAAGATATACATATATAGATATAATACAGACATTATTATGTTATACTATACATACACAGGTGAACAGTGAATATATATATATATCGTAATGTGTACTTATTCCCATATACGAATGAAGGCATACAAAAAAAAAAAGATATCAGTTTTGAGTTTTCGGTCGGATTTTGTTGTTGATCAGTTTATATATATATATATAGTTAGTGGTAGGAGATCCAGTTTCCAATGGAAATCGGGAGGGGGGGAGGAGAGAGAGGGTTTGACTTTTTTGAAGATAAAGATATTGTGAAATAAGTCGAAATAATAATTCGTTGGAAACTTATATGCTCGTGAGAAGATCGAAAGAGATCGCGATTGTGTAGAAGAGAGAGTGGCGTAGAGCGGCAGTAGAAAGGGTCTGTAACGAGTCGGACGCGTTAGGTTGAGGTCCTTATCTCGAATATCGATTGGGAGTGCAAAGGGTTCGTCTCTCGATCGAGATGTTCGACTCTTCCGAAAGGGAAGAATAATAAAGAGGCAACAATGAGATCAACAATGAATTATTCGCTTCTAAATCGATTTTAATGCCATGTGTACCATATGCTTGAAAGCGCAAGCTCGTCGATCGTCCAAAGGACACGTAAAGAGAGAGAGAGAAAGAAAGAGGAAAAAAAAGAAACATATATAAAAAGTGAAAAAAAACTAGAACCGAAAAATCTATCTTTCTCGCGCTTTTCTTCTTGTGGAAACTACACATACAATCAGCTGACTCAATTCCCTCGGAAATTGAATCGTTAAATTAAATAATATATATAAAAAAAGAGAAAGAAAGAAATTAAATTAAATAATAAAAAAAAAAAAAAAAGAAAGAAAAGAAAAAAAAAATAATCAGCCTACCAACGACAGCATTGCGCGAACAATCGTGCACACAGCTGAAGGCGGCTATGACACAATGGTATGCAATAGTTATTTTACAAATATACATATACACGTCTATTTTGATTAATCGCAATTATCGATTATTGAAATCATTTAAAAAGTAAAAAAAAAAAAAAAAGGAAAAGAAAAAAAATACACGTATATACGTATATTCAATTTATAATAATTATCGCACGCGTGTACGTTACACGTATATATGTATATACATACATAGTATATCGAAACAGTTATGTGAAATGCAACACCGAATGCTAACACACATATGTATAATAACAATTCTCATAATGGGCTAACATAGAATATTCTTGCTTTCTCGGTTCCTCGTGACGCAGCGGTTTACCGTATCGCAATCAGACGTCAGCCGGATTTCTCGAGGATCTTCCTGTGGTGGACAAACACGACCCTCGAATTAGTCCACTTTCCTCCTTTTTCCACGTCCTTCACACTCTCTACCGTCCCCCTCCAATCCCCACCGCTCTGCGCTAGAGCAGAGGATTGGAAAGGGATCGCTTCGATTCTTTGTCGATGAAAAAAATAAATTTTTTTCTGCAAATTTTATTATTTTCTTTTTTTTTTTTTTTTCCAAAGAATATCATCGATGAAAGATCGTTTCCCAAATTGTTGTTTTTTCTTTATTATTAATTTCTAATTCGAGTTTGTGAGAATATTTTTTTTACACCGATTTTTATCGCATTCTCACGAAAATAAATATCGCGCCACTCCATGGTGGAAATGAAATGGAGGAGAAAAGAATTCGCGAGAAGAGAATCCGTTGAAAACCGAATAATGAAAATGCGCGATAATAAATCCCGCAGGATTCCCCCTTTATGTGTGTAGGGATGGAGGAACAAAACCGATGGACACTTGAGCGGTAAATTGATCGTTCGATTCGATTATACCGCGATGTTTCTATGTGGGGAATGCAACGAAGAGGAGGAGAAAAAAAAAAAAAAAAAAAAAAAAAAAGAAACGCGATGGACATCGGCAAGCATTTTCCATGTGAACACGTGGTAATTGTATCAATCAGTAACCAATGATGGAGTCAACACGATGCAACAACTACCATAACAACAACGTCGGAACTAGAGAACTCTTAATCATTTCGATTTGATGGCTGGCTTCGTTTCTCATTTCTTTTTCAAACGGTTTTAATTCTAATTGATTAAAGAAAAAAAGATTAGATTATTAATGTATTTTGAGAATAAAAATTTTGAAGGATGTTTTCAAGTGTATTTCTCGCAAATATTAATTTTTGGTAATAAAAATAGTAACTTTATCATCG